CCGCCCCCCCCCCCCCCCCGCCCCTTGTGTGGATTAATATTGATGTGGGAAGCAGAGATGGTTAAACGATGTGCATGACCAAATGACTGAAGATGACCAAAGTACTCCTAACTTTCTCCTTTTCCACCTGCAATTTGGGATGGTATTATTTTCATGAGCTTCTAGAAATTTCACTTGCAAACTGACTTTTGCTTCCTGTGTTGCCACAGTCCTTATTTATGGTATGCCTAGTAAAGGATTCTATTGGAACGTCCACAGGGCTTGTTGGTTGGCCTAAGCTTCAAACATTCCACTTGTTGTCCCTGGAACCACGAGTTACATAATTTTCATGGTGGTTTCTGATCCAATTGAAGGGAAATTGAGATTTCTGCATTTAAGTATTTTTAGTAGATTTAATAGATTTTAATTTGTTTTTGTTTTGTTTTTTTGTTTGTTTGTTTGTTTGTTTTTCAAGACAAGGTTTCTCTGTGTAGCTTTGGAACCTATCCTGGCACTCACTCTGGAGACCAGGCTGGCCTTGAACTCACAGAGATTCGCCTGCCTCTGCCTCCTGAGTGCTGTAATTAAAGGCGTGCACCACCAACGCCCGGCTAGATTTTAATTTTTTCATAAGGTATTTATTTGGGTTTATCTGGTATGAATGACAGAGCCACACTATATTTACTTTACCTTGGCAGTTTATTTGTGGGTGGCAGTTTTCTGTAGTTGTTGGGACAATGACGCTTTAGACTATTTCCCTTAGAGCCTACAGCTGAGGTCTGAATTGCAGCTGGCTTATGTGGCTAGAACAGGAAAGGTGAACTGGTTCTTTACTGTTTTTTTTTTTTAATTCCCATTAAAAATTTCTAATGTTAAGAATACATACTTTAAATAAACACGACTGATTAATATAAAAAAAGTGTACAGAAAACTAAGAAATGAAAAACTAAGTATCAAAGGAAACAGATGAGAATGGCTCAACTCCATGGAAGATGAGTTATGGCTAAGAAGGAAGAACACTGACATTTATTGTTTTAATATTATTTACTATGTTTAATGTGTTTTATCCTCATTATTTTAAGAAATTAAAACTTACCTTCATTAGGGGAGAGTATCATGCATTAGGCTGAGATTTACAAGTACTAATTGGAGTTAACAGTTCATAGAGAGACCAGATGTAATGACACACACTTATAACCCCAATGGTAAGTATGCTGAGGTAAGAGAATATTAAGTCCTAGGCTGCATAGCAATGCCCTGGCTCAAAAGAAGGGGTGGGGCATGTGTAGAGAGCATGAGGATTAAGTTAAAAGTCCCTAAAAGACCCTAGGTAAGAATTTTAAAAGCATAAAAAATTAATGATAAGAAAACAATGCTATGGCTGGGCGTTGGTGGCGCACGCCTTTAATCCCAGCACTCGGGAGGCAGAGGCAGAGAATCTCTGTGAGTTCAAGACCTGCCTGGTCTACAAGAGCTAGTTCCAGAACAGCCTCCAAAGCCACAGAGAAACCCTGTCTCAAAAAAAAAAAAAAAAAAAAAGAAAGAAAAAGAAAAAGAAAATAATGTTAGGGAACATAGTAGGTCATATCAATCTAATGGAGCTACCTTAGCAATTCATTGGAAAAAGAACAACAGTCTAGCAATCACGTGGTACATTTGACCATGTAAAAAATTGTCTAGGAGATTATTAGAAACACAAGAAAAAATAAAGTATATGGGAAAAAAAGCAATGAATGAAAGCATAAGGCTGTCACCTTGAAACCTCCCTCCCCCTTGATAAATGACAGAACAAAAATAACTATTCTAGAAACCAAAATAATTGAGAGCACTGTCTACTGACAAGCAGAGAGAAGGATACAGTGGGTGTCTACTTATTTCGGAGGTTGGGGGTGGGGGGACTACCTGTTTCAGAGGGTGAGGGGCGCCTACCTGTTTCAGAGCAGGGGAACACGGGATCAGTTCTCCTATTCTGTTTATCCCAGCATTTATTTTCTTCTTTCTGTGCCTCTCCACTAGAAAGAGGAAAAACACATTATCAACCTTTATACTACTTGGTCAAAGTGCCCAATTTCCCAGGGCAAAGGAACTATCAAGAATCACATACAGAAGCAGCTAGGGGTCTGTAACTCAGTGGCAGAGCACCTGCCTTGCATGGACATGGAAAAGAAGTTGAACCCTGAGCCAAAAAATCATTATTTACAAGTAAGGTTGTACATAAGGTTTCTAAGAATATAATATTTTTAAGTCAAATGTTATGAAATAAATGCACTTTTACAATCATTGTAAAGAAACCCATAAATAATAATTACATTAAAATGTTAAAAAGAAATGTTATTATTATGCCATCTTTCCATTATAATTCAAGTAACTAGTAGAGATTTTGTTGTGGAATATTATTTATTCAACATTTATTACATTTATTCATGCTATGGAACATTTGTTTTAATGATGCAAATATGTGCTGCATTCTTTTCTGTCTCATTTAACTCTGTAAAGCTGTGTTACTGGGCCTGTCGAAAACACCTGATGGTCTAATAAAGCACTGAATGGCCACTAGTAAGGCAGGACAAAGGATAGGCAGGGCTGGCAGGCAGAGAGAAGAGGTAGAAGAAGAAATAAGGAAAGAAGGACTGAGGGAACAAGGAGAGGGGATAGCTAGGGGCCAGCCACCCACCAACCATGGAATAAGAGTGAAAGTAAGGTATATAGAAATAGTGAAAGATAAAAGCCCAGAGGCAGGATAGATGGGATAATTTAAGTTCAGAAAAGCTGGCTAAAAACAAGCCAAGCTAAGGCTGGGAATTTATAATTAAGAATAAGCCTCCGTGTGATTTATTTGGGAGCTGGGTGGTGGGCCCCCAAAAGAGTAAAGAATAATAAGTAACAACAAAATTTATTGTAACAAATTACTTTTATCTTGTTACATGTATTATTTATTTATTTTAGTGTGTGTACATGTATGTGTACACACGTGTGGGTATATGTCTACAGCACACATATGGGGTCAGATGATGACTTGCTGGAGTCAGTTCACTCTTTCTAATGTCTGCTTCAGTTATCAAACGCAAGCCACTTCACCTGCTGAGCCAACACAACAGGCCAATAACCAAATCTAAAGAAACCACTAATTAGTTACCCAAAAGCTGCCTCTTTTTTGCAAATAAGGCCTTTCTTTAAATTTTAAGAACCTTAAAACACCTAGTTTAGGATGACTAGGCCTTTCTGGAATAGAAGCAACTGTTCATTGTGTTTTAAGTAGATAAGAAAAGGCACTGGCTTGGTCTTCTGTAATTTCTGGGATAGCCATTCAGTCCATGTAGGATCTTTTCTATCTAAGAAACAGGGAGTACCAGCTAGCTTTAACATCAACTTAACATAGCCTAAGATCAACAAGGAAGATAATTTTTTGTTGTTGTTTTTTGTTTTTATTTTGTTTTTCAAGACAGGGTTTCTCTACACGTATAGCTTTGGAGCCTATCCTGGCACTCTGTAGAAAAGGCTGGCCTCAAACTCACAGAGATCCGCCTGCCTCTGCCTCCCAAATGCTGAGATTAAAGGTGTGTGCCACCAAAGCCCAGCAGGAATCAAAAATTTTAATGCATAATTATCTAGATCAGGTTGTCTTGTGGTCTTATCTTTGGGGGTCTGTCTTAATTGCAAATTGATGTAGAAAAACTAGTCCATTGTGGGTGACTCCATTCCCTAGGTAGAGGTCCTGACCGGTATAAGAGAGGAGAAAGGTAACTGAAAGCAAACAAGGATGTATTTATTGTTTCCTTGCTCTTGACCTTGGCTGTAATGTGACTAGCTGCTTGAGTTCCTGCCTTGAGTGACACCCTCAGTGATAGACAGTAACTTGGAACTGTAAGCCAAATAAATAAATTTGTTCTTTCCCTATGTTACTTTTGATCAGGATATTTTATCATGGCAACAGAAATGAAATTAGGACACAGGGTAACTGAAAACTTGCCAATTAACTGCCAAAAATGATCCAGACTGACATACTAAAACTCTAAAACAAGCAAGAGTACACAAGAGTTCATCTAAATAATTTATTCCGGAGGACCAGATCCAGTTCCTAGCACCCACATTAGATGGCTCACAACCACCTGTAACTCTAGCTCCTAGGGGGTCTAAACCACTGTGGGCATCTGCACACACACACACACACACACACACACACACACACACACACACACACACACCACTCTTAGCTGCTCTCTCTCTCTCTCTCTTTCTCTCTCTCTTTTTGTTTTGTTTTGTTTTGGTTTCTTGAGACAGGGTTTCTCTGTGGCTTTGGAGGCTGTCCTGGAACTAGCTCTTGTAGACAGGCTGGTCTCAAACTCAGAGAGATCGGCCTGCCTCTGCCTGCCGAGTGCTGGGATTAAAGGTGTGTGCTACCCCCGCCTGGCTTGGCTATCTCTTATTTAAAGTCCTCCTTTCTATTAACTGATTGCTAGGCTTTTAAGTGTGGTTTTCTAATAATAATAATACTTGCTGTTATCTAAGTAGATTTCAAAGTTGATAAACTCATTCCACCAGTGTTCAACGTATTTTCCTGGATAAACTCTCCCCAAAGATCATCTATGTATAGCTATAGTTACAGATATAGGTTAACAGAAAGTAATTAAATTTTTTTCTGAAAGCAGAATGCAGTCCTTGATTAAAAATAAAACATTACATAATGTGTCAAAGTGGAAATGGATACACAATTAACATTGTACACTTACTGAGGTTGGCCTGTACATGCAACATTAGAGGTGAGATCGCATTGATTTTGTACGTTTGTTTCTATTAGTATGTACAACTTAGCATTGTCCACATGCACCAGGTGTAGCGGCACAAGCCCGTAATGCACTCAGGAGGTGGAGGCAGGTGGATCTCTGTGAGTGAGTTCCAGGCCAGCCTGGTCTACAGAGAGACTATCTCAGAAGGAAGACTGCCACATGCAAAGAGCCCCTGGCTCATCTCTTTCTTCCTCAGGGAGCTGCCCCCTATAACCTTTATTCTCCCAATGTCCTTAGTGAAACCCTTCCAATACTAGCAACCCAATATTCTAATATCATAATAAATCCAAAGTAGGCTACACTTCAGATGTTACACAGTCAGCTCTGTGAGGCTCTGGGAATATTTTGTCAATAAAGACAACAAAGTTGCCCTTTCCAAAATATAAGAAATAATTCCATGATTACAACATAAAAATATATAATTAACCACAGTATAATTAATTCCAGCTGAGTTCAAGTTGTGGCACGCACCTGCATTGTGTGTCTCCCGGTTTTTCTTTCTGAAACAGAAGTGCATAGACAGGTAACATGAAGATAACAAAAAAGAATCTTTACTTTCATAGCCACAAAAATAAATTTATGAAACTGTCTATGCTGCAGCAATAAAGAACCACTGAAGAAAAGAAAACCAGATTAAGGCATGAGAACCTTAATGCAGATACTTTCAAATTAATTCAATAGATATAATTTCAGGAAGAACATTCTCTACCAATGGTACCCAGGAATCACACGTGAGAACGGAATCAATCGCTGAAAACCTTCGCTATCTGAGAACGTAGCGAGCGTAACTGCAGATGTGCCAGGGAGGCTCGTGACACTGCAGACCAGAGTGGGGAGGAGACGAGAGCAACAATGCAGTACAGTTGTGCGATTCCCACAGGAGAAATGTGGTGGCAACAGCACTCATGGTGTCAACTGCATCCAAGTCCTCTTTTCCATCCATGTACTCAGGTTATCCAAACTCTTACCTTTTCTTAAAATTTCTACTAAAGACATTGACTTTCCCTTTTTTGCATAATTATCCTACACATTAGCTTTCACCAGTAGCTATTTGGTAAGGAAAGAGAATATAGTAGTTTTAACCTTATTAAAAACAGTGGCCACACAAATCTAAGCAGACATTGCCTAAAATGCTAGAAACTCAGGAGAGGGGCTATAAGAAAATGAAAATGAAAGTAATGCTATGTATATTGTCATTAATGGATTATAATGTTACAAATTAAACACAATCTAAATGTTTCTGGATGCCAGTGAAAATGTCCTTAGAAAGCAAACATGTAATATAGATTTGATATAATTTTTAAATTATTATTATACTTTTTTTTTTTTACAACCCAACCACAGTTTCCCCTTCCTCCTCCCCTCTGCCCACCCCCATTTACTCCTCCTCCCTTTCTATTCAGAAAAGGGCAGTCCTCCCACGGATATCAACCAATCATGGCACATCAAGGTGCAGTAGGACTAGGCACCGCCCCTCATACCAAAGCTGGGCCAGGCAGCCCAGTATAAGGAATAGGGTTCCAAAAGCTGACAGAGTTAGAGACAGCCCCTGCTCCCACCACTAGGAGTCCTGCAAGAAGACCATGCTACACAGCAGTCACACTTAAGCAGAGGGTCAGTCTGATGCAGCCTGCCTGTTTGTCAATTCGGTCTCCATGAACCCCTATGATTGATACAATGTTTCAACTACTGATGACCATTCTTACTTGCCACGCTGCTGAAAAAAGCACAGGTAAATTTTAGCCATGTATCTCTTTCAGCAAATCTATTTCTATCCATCCACAAATATTTTGGAGATTAATCACTTTCTAGGCATCCAAATGCAAGTTCACTAAGGACTGTTCATCAAACTGGGAGCTGATTCTGTTTCTTACCTGCCTAAATGGTATTATTTGGGGCTGTGGATACACACCTGTGCTGCTTTTTTGTAGGCGTCTCATGCTCTGTCATTTCTGGCATGGTGACAGTGATAAGAACCTACAAAGAGATAAAAAGACAGTTACACCAAGATATTTAATCATTCTAGAGTTTGGAGGAATCAAACAGCAATTTGATTTTTAATACCAAAAAGCTAAACAAACAAAAAGAAACCAAAAAACACTTGACCAGATGTTATAGATTAAAAGGGTTTAAAAAAATAGGATATATGAGCCAGGCGGTGGTTGCGCACGCCTTTAATCCCAGCACTCGGGGAGGCAGAGGAAGGCGAATCTCTGTGAGTTTGAGACCAGCCTGGTCTACAAAAGCTAGTTCCAGGACAGCCTCCAAAGCCACAGAGAAACCCTGTCTCACAAAAAAAAAAAAAAAACAAAAACCAAGCAAACAAAAAAATAGGATATATGGTCAAAATTCCAGTACTAGAGAAGTTGAGACTAGGGCCAGCCTGGGCTGCATGGCAAGTGGCAGAGTAGCCTGGGCTTCACAGTAAGATCTCACTGGTAAAGTGGTTGGCCAGCATGAACTGAAAGACAGACTGCCAGATCACTCTCCAGAAACAACCAAGGACAACACTATTTATTATAGGCAGCAGATGCAAATCACGGTGAGGCTTTCCTCACCTTCCCACTGCCCTCATTAGCAACAGAGACTCACTACATGTGGGTGTGAAAACTCAGGATGAAGACAGTGGGTTTTCCTCTTTCTTCCTCCATTCTCCTCCTCACCCGCCCCATTTTGAGACAGGTCTCACTGTATAGTTCAGGGATGGTCTCAAAAAACATGTAATTCTCCTGGCTCTGTTTCCTGAGTGTTGGGATTATGTGCATACAACACTACCCAGCTAAAAACAGATGTCCTATAGAGAAATATACATATAAATGGAAAAAGTCTGGAGGCAGAAACATTAGGACATGAAGTACAGGTATGCAAAGCAAGCAATATTGCTGGTGATTTCTTTCGGTCCTCTCTGATTTTTCCAGAGTTTGATAATGAAAATGTTAATGCTTAACTCTCAGTAACTGGCAACCAACCTTCCAAAAGAGGCTGCCAAGCTGGGTACCTCTAGGGCTACCGGGGAGGAAGTACAAGTGCCACTCCCCCTTTTTCTTCTGGGAAAGGAAAGGAGGTAATAAGTACAGAGGTCAGCTTAGAGAGCAGGAGTTTAAGATCTGACTGTGCCACTTCCTAACTGTTTGGCTGTGGGCTTTGGAACCGAGAAGAGAATGAAACCATGCAAGGAAGGCACAATACCATGGTGCCTGAAAGCAATAAGGATCCAAGAAATGTTAGCCCTGAATATTTACAAGGTATTTCAGAACAAGCACCAGCCCTCGAGAAGAGGGAAGGTAGGAAGTACTGATTGATGTGGCCTGTGGAGAACGTGTAGCTGAAACTTATCTCCAGGGCTAGCAAGATGGCTCAGTTGGTAAAAGTGCTCCCAAGCCTGAAGCCCTGAGTTCCGTCCTGAGACCCACACAGTAGAAGGAGGAACTGAATCCCCACACGCGTCACAGATGCACATACATACCACAAAAAGAAGCATTATGATTTTGTTTTCAAAAACAACTCATCTCAGCTGTCTGTTCCTTTTCCACCTTCTCCTTACAGACAGCCACCCACTGTGGATAACCACATACCAGCAGTGTGGGGTGGTCAGCACGTAAACACACAAACAACCCATCTCCTTTCTCACCCAAGGGCTCACAGTTTCTTCACTTTGGATTCCTGGCTTCCAACTCCTCCTCTTTCTGGTTCAAATCTATCATCTTCTGCCAGAAGATGGTCTCTATAAGTTCTGTTTTCTTCTTACTACAAAAAAGAAGAACCAATGAGTGTTTATAGGCACCAGGTATCCATGAGATGAAGCTGGCAACTGATGACATTCAGGCAAGTTTGAGAGGCATGAGGATAATCCTGACTGCTCCCCACCACGGGAAAACAGGTGAATGTATTTACTCTCAAAAGCCTTTTTCTAGTGGGTAACCCATGTTCTACACTAAATACAGGGAGAGGGGTCTTACAGGCAGGGGAAGGCATGTGGACACGCTTCTCTTCTATTCTGTTTGCTCACGGTCCCTTGGACCCTCATTACCCATGGATGTCCAAAGACTTCCATGTTACATCTAATATTAAAATCAACTCTCAATTCCAGAATTATCTTTCCATTTCCTATTTCCCTTATGTAAAATTTTATTTCTTCTCAATGTGTGCATGTATGGGTGTTGTGTAGTATGTGTTCACATGTTTGTGGGCACATGTGAGTGTCTGAATGTGCATGCATAAGGACATCCATGGGTGATGCCAGTTGTCTTTATTGTCCTCTACTTTATTCTTTTTGAGGCCATGACTCTCAGTCAAACTCAGAGATTGCTGTCAACATGGCTAGTCTCCAAAGGCGGTTTGTTCTGGAGACCCCATCTCCACTTCCAGAGGCTGGAATTACAGGTAAGCCACCATGCTCACCTGGTATTTGTGGGGTTTGGAGATCTGAGCTCTGGTCCTCTTGCTTCCACAGCAAGCACTAAGTGCTAAGCTATCACCCTGCCCCATTCTTGTTTGTAGGAGTGACTGAAAACTTGCTCAAAGCTAGGAAGACAGGATGAAGGCCTGTGTGCTGTGGATGCAACAACATTTTACAGCTTCATCTCAGACTAACAAGCGATGAACTGTAGGAGGACCTAGGATACTAAATCTTCTTGGATGCTATCCCTTTCTCCTTTCCATTCTTCTCTTTCTCTATGCTCAGAAAGTCTGAGAAACTTAGCTCTACTTTAGGGTAATGTTTCCCAAGCATAGACAGTTAGAATTATCCAGAGGACATCAGTGCTTCCTATCTGTGGGTTTCATGTCTGTGAATCCACAATGAAAGAGAACATGTGAGATTTATGTTTCTGAGCCTAGGTTTACCTTACTTAAAATGTTTTACAGTTCCATTCATTTCCTGCTACATTTCATAACTTCATTTTTCTTTACAACTGGATAAAGTTCTATCGTGTGTGTGTATATTACAATACCCATTCATCTGTTGATGAACATCTAGGATGATTCTATTTCCTTGCTATTGTGAAGAGAGCAACAATAGACACGGTTGGGCAAGTGTCTCTATAATAGCAGCATATATATTCCTTTGGGTTCATGACCAGAAATGGTATATACCAAGAATGGGTCATATAAATATATGGAAATTCTTTTAGGTTTTTTTTTTCTTGTGTGTTTGTGTGTATGCACATGTGTGTAGGTGCACCCACCTGTGGAGGCCACATAAGGATTCCAGGTGACTTCCTCTATGGCTTTCCAATTTATTGCCCCCTTTCATAGTTTTCTATCTTGTCTTCTTGTTCTAGCTGAGACTTTGAGAACTATACCAAATAAGAGTGTAGAAAGTAGACACTCTTGCTGTTCCTGATTTTAGTGGAAATGCTATTCGAGGGAGTATATGTTATTGTAGCCATTATGGAAACCAATATGGAGGCTTCTCAAAAAAACTTAAAACTAGGGCTGGGAAAGTGGCTCAGTTGGCAAAGTGCCTGCAGTGCAAACATAAGAAAAGCTGGGATAGCAGCACATGCCTTAAATCCTTGCATGGATGGATGGAGACGGAGAGCCCAGAGGCTCTCGGGTCAAAGTCCAGTCAAAACCACAAGCTCCAGTCTCAGTGAAAGACCTTAGTGTTCTGGTGGAAGTTCCAACTCAATACCTCTCCCTCATCTCTCTCTCCAAACCCTGCCCCATCGAAGAAAGCTGCCAAATAGGGTTCCTCCCTCAGAGATGCTCAAGACTACTCCCACAGGGTATTTAAATTGCCCCCAAGAAAACAGACTGGAGGTTTTCCAATCTCCTGTCTGTGGGGCTCGAAAATCATTCAGGAGCATTTTATCCATTAAACCTGGGCTTTTTCTAATTTGGTTTGATTTGGTCTGATTTGGATTGCTGCATCAATGGAGAGGCCTATGGGGTGCAGAAACTTTTCACTTATCTTTAAAAAAATTAAACTAGAGTTGGGCATGATAGCACACGACTTTGATCCCAATACTCAGAAGGCAGAGGCAGGTGGATCTCTGTGAGTTTGAGGACAGCCTGGTCTACAAGGCAAGTTCCAGGACAGCCAGGGTTGCTACAGAGAAACCCTGTCTCAAGAAAACAAAACAAAATGAACTGAAATTAAAATAAGGTCAAGGGTAATGGAGGAAGATACTCAAGGTCAACCTCTGGTCTTCATATGTGCATGCACTGGTAAGTGTACAGGTCCACCCACTCACACACACATACATGAAGCCATAAACATATGTACACATGCATACAAAAAGATATAAAAGGAATACAGACTGGGAAGGAAGAAGTTAAATTATTCCTATTTGTAGATACCATGATTCTATATTTAAAAACCCCATGGAGTTCACACACACATCTGGATCCAACAAGTAACTTCAGAAGAACACAATACAAAATCATTGGTATGGTAGCAAATGGATAGAATCAGCACCGAGGAGGTTGAGGCAGGAGGATCATGAATTCCAGGTCAGCAGGGGTTACACAGTGAACTCCTGCCAGAGAGACAGAAGTGAGAGGCCAGAGGTTGGTGCTGGGTTCTTTCCTCACTCACTCTTGTTTTTGAGACAGAAACTGAACCTCAAGGTCAGTGATTTGGCAAGGCTGCTGAGTAGCAGGGCCCCAGGGGTACTCCTGTCCCTTCCTCCTCAGCACTGGCATCACAGGTATGTGCTCCATGCCTAGCTTTACATGGGTGCCAGAGATGTGAACTCGGGTCCTCATGCACACATGGCAAGCACTTTACTGACAGAGCCATCTCTCTACCCTCCAAAATAACCAGACTAAGGGACTACATCATCATAAATCTTTGTCTATCTACCAATTAACCTACTAATGAAGACATAGCTTTTCTTCTCTTGTTGGCACTGGGGTTAAATAACTCAGGGCCTTAGAACACCGAGTTACACACACATCCCAAATGGCATTTTTAATACAATATTTATATGACTAAATAAATATACTCCTTAAAATAGTTAAATTGCCATGAATTTTTAAAGATAAATGCTAAAATATTATATTAATAATCTATGAGTTATTACATCTGTGTGGAAAGAAACAATTATTAGGAAAGCTGTCAAGCCCAGGGGTTCTCACATTGTGGTCCTTAGATCTCCTGCTTAAAATCAATTTGTCTAGGACCATTTTTCCCCTTGAGGTAAAACTCACACACAAATTTCTTTAAGTGAAATCTTAAGTACACCATTTGTTCCATTGGAACCTCCAGCTTACTCCTGCTTGATACAGAAAGCCCCATTCCTGAATCTCTCCAAAACCCACCCTCTCAGAGAATCTCCAACAAAGGGAAGGCACCAAAATGTCCAGTTCTGCATGGTTGGTGGCTTAAGGCAGCTCCTCCCCAGAAGTTGCCAGATGCTCAAGTCCCCGCCTAAAGCATTCAGCTTTTGACTATCCTTGGGCACAAACACAGCTTGTGGCAGACATATCATCAGCCCTTGCCTACAACCTATATAAGCTCCCTACTTTAGTTCAGGCATGTGACTTCTCCAGCCTTGATCTTTGAGTCTAGAGAACTCACCCAGGAGTTAGTTGCTTTGCTCAAATAAACAGGTTCTTTCACTTTTTCAGTTTTGCTTCATTTTGCTTACTGTGTCAGTGGAGAAATCTATTATGAGGGTACAGAAAACCTATTACTATTCAGTGAGCTTTCACACTTCTGTTACCCCATCTGCATCAAACTACAGATATTATCACCAGACAAAGTTCTTTCCTGACCTTTTCTAGCCAATCCCTTCCCAGTTTTAAAAGTAATCACTGTCCTCTGGACTTTATATAGATGTGTTAGTGGGAATTCTCTTGTGGCAAGCTTACACTCAGCTTAAATGTAAATTATATACCTTCTTCCAGGAGTCTGCTCCTTTTTATAGGATGAACCAATAACTGTGTATGAACCTATAACACTAGCTGTTTATCCATTTTTCTGTTCATGGACTGCCACTCTGTCTACTAAGTACCACTGGCACAAACTACAAACACCATAAGGACAGACAGCCACTAGACAGTCAGCTGAGCATTTTGTGCTGGTCAATGTATCTGGACAGTTTCCTAACTAGCAAATGACGTATTAGTGATGTGTGAGATTTTTTTTTTCTAAAAGAAAGCCCAGGTACACTCTCTCTGCACTTGCTGCCTTTGGTGACCAGTTCTTATACACCAGGTTCCCTGAAACAACTAGTGGTTCTGGAGTTTCTCTTCTGGGTGATAAAAAATGTTCTACAATTTTGACTGTGACAATGATATACAACACTGTGAACATACTAAAACCAATGGAGTGGACACTAAGTGAGTGAACGAGGTATACTAATGATATCTCAGTAATCTTTTTCTATTTTTTTTTATATTTAAAAGAGTCTTTTCTCAATCTACATAGCAATCCCAGTCCCACTCACTCCCCTCCTCCTCCTCTTCCCACCTTCCCCCCATAACTCCCCCCATCCACTCCTCAGAGAGGATAAGGCCTCCTATGGGGAGTCAAAAAGATTGGAATGTTTTTAAGTCAGGACCAAGCTCCTCCCCCCTATATCTAGGCTGAGCAAGGTATCTCTCCTAGCACAGGCTACCAACAAGCCTAATTATATATAATATATACATACATATATACATACACATATATATACATATATACATATATACATATATACATATATACATATA